GGGGGCGGGGTTCGCCGCTCTTCCGCTTCCTGGATCCTGTATTTTATTTTTCTGTCCGTCCCCACTTCCGGGCATGCGCTCTTCGAGCTCGCGGCAGGGAGGGGGGCGTGGCCTTAGGACGGGGCGGGGCTTTGCCTCGCTTCCTCTTCTGCGACGTTGTTCAGCTGCCGTCCACTTCCGCGCAGGCGCGTGAGGGGCCGACGGGCGTGGCCCGGCGCGGGTTGGGCGGGGCGAAGGCTGGGGGCGTGGCCTTTCCTTGTTTCCCTCCTTCCGCGCTGGAGCGAGGGTAGGCGTGGCTGGGGGCGGGGCTTCGCCCTGTTTTCCTCCTCCCGCGCCCCCGAGGCCGCGGGTTCGAGCCCCGACCCCGACCCCGACGCGCGCGCACAGGGGCGAGACTCCGGTCCGCCCCCGAGGCCGCGGGTTCGAGCCCCCCCGCCCTCCCCGCCGCCACGCGGGACGCCTCGGCCGCTTATACCGTTTATTGCGCTCGGGGCCCGGCGGGGCGCGGCCCCGGGTTACACAGCGTCGGCGTCAGGCGCGGGGCGGCGCCCGGGCACACAAGTAGAGCGCTGTGCGGCGCGCTGCGCCCGGAGAGTGTCTGCGCAGGCGCAGTCCACGGGGGCGAGCCGGAACAGTCTCTGCGCAGGCGCCGACCGCGGAGCAAGCGGAAGAGTCTCTCTGCGCAGGCGCCGTCCGCGAAGCAAGCGGAAGAGTCTCTCTGCGCAGGCGCCGTCCGCGGAGCAAGCGGAAGCGTCTCTGTGCGCAGGCGCCGTCCGCCCGGAAGTCTCTCTGCGCGCAGGCGCGGTCCAGGAGCTCCCGGGCCCCTGGCCCCGCCCCCCGCCGTGGCCCCGCCCCCAGGCGCGCGTCAGCGGGGGAGGGGCCGGGGCTACAGGATCACGCAGCAGTGGCTCTCGCCCGTCTTCTCGCGGTTCCTCTGACCTGCGGGGGCGGAGCGCGCGTCAGCGGGCGGGCGGGGGCGGGGGCGTCCGCGGGTTCGGGCCCCGGGGGCGGAGGTTGGGGTTTCCCGTGTTTCCGGGTCCCCCCTCCCCCCCCACACACACCTTGCGAGTTGGGCTCCGGCAGCGTCTCCCTGGCCACGAGGTGCATCACCGCGGTCCTCCCGGGCGGCAGCTTCAGCGCTGCGGGGGGCGGGGCGGGTAACGTCAGCGCGCCGGCCCCGCCCCCCGCTCGGGCTGACCCGTCCCTGTGGCCCCGCCCCCCGCTAACGCCGTCCCTGTGGCCCCGCCCCCCGCTAGCTCCGTCCCTGGGGCCCCGCCCCCGCTCTGGCTAACGCCGTCCCTGGGGCCCCGCCCCCCGCTAGCTCCGTCCCTGTGGCCCCGCCCCCCGCTAACGCCGTCCCTGTGGCCCCGCCCCCTCACCTCCCAGCGTGACGTTGCCGTGCAGGAAGCGGCCCTGGTAGATGAGGCGCAGGATGGAGGCGCTGCTCACGCGCTCCTCCTCCCAGTCTGCGGGGACAGGGGGGGCGGGGTTAGAGGACGGGGGGCGGGGTTAGAGGGGAGGGGGCGGGGCTAGAGCAGCCGCTCTTCCAGTCTGCGGGGGAAATGGGGGCGTGTCCCCGCGGCCCGGGGGCGTGTCTGAGGCGGGGAAGGGCGTGTCCCCGCGGGCCGGGGGCGTGTCTGAGGCGGGTAGGGGCGTGTCCCCGCGCGCCGGGGGCGTGTCCCCGCGGGCCCCGCTCACCCGGCGGCCAGCGGTCGTGCACGTGGCGCGCGATGTCGGCGGCCGAGGCTCCCGGCGGGAACAGGAACTCCTGCGTCTTCCCGCTCACCAGGATCAGCCGCAGGGCGATCTGCGCGGGTTCGAGACCACCGTCCGCCCCGGCCCGGCCCGGCCCGGGTGTCCTCCCCACCTCCGTCCTCCCATCTCCGTCCTCCCCACCCCCCTCCCCCCCCCCCCCCTCCCCCCCCCCCCCCCCCCCCCATCTCCCTCCTCCCCCTCTCCCCTCCCCATCTCCCCTCCCCATCTCCTCTCCCCATCTCCGTCCACCCCAGACCGGTCCTCCCCACCTCCTCCTCCCCATCCCAGGGTGCTCCCCATGTCCGTCCTCCCCATCTCCGTCCTCCCCTCGCTGTCCTCTCCCATCTCCGCCCTCCCCATCTCCGTCCTCCCCTCGCTGTCCTCTCCCAAGTCCTCCCCCATCATCGTCCTCCCCTCGCTGTCCTCTCCCAAGTCCTCCCCATCTCCGTCCTCCCCATCATCGTCCTCCCCATCTCCATCCTCCCACCGCTGTCCTCTCCCAAGTCCTCCCCGAGTCCTCCCCCAGCCGGACCCGACCCCAAGGCCTCAG